ATATATATATATATATATATATATATATATATATATATATGTATATATTAATATATAAAATGATTTGTTAATTTAATCAATAATAGTTAAGATTAAATTATAGTTCAGTTAAATCAACTAGATATATTTTAATACTTAATTACATAATAGTTAATGTATAATACTATCTAAAAATAGTGTCAATCATCCCCTAAACAGTCTCTTGTATACTTTATACCATCAAAAAACATCAATATTTCAAAAGAATCACTAACTGTTCCTACAATTTTATTAAAATGCATGGTTGTATACCATTTCCAGCATTATAATTCCTATTTAATGTTTCTTCAATCTCTATTGCAGTTGGTGCTACTATCATAAAACTATTCTGTGAATCTTGAATTGAATATTTTATGAAGGATTTTTTTAACTTCAAAGTTGATAATTGACTTTTTATTTGTTGGTACTATGATTGCATGTAGAAAATACAACTTTTAGAGTCTGAAACCGATTAAAATTAACACTAGCAGTATATTACGTATCACATAAAAATGTAATAGAAAAACAATGTATCTATTCTGTGGTTGTAATGAGTTTTCTGGTCTGAGGTCATCAATTTCATGTCTAATAACAAACTTTAAAAAATAACATTGGTCCATGTCTTCTTCAATATCAGTTTTTTTTCTTCTTGGAAAAGAAATTGAAGTCAGGCTTGTTAACGTCTGGTAAAAAACTAGTGCTTTTCTTTTTTTCATTATTATTATTATTATGTGTATTAGCACTGAATGTAGACAAATAATATAAATTATCTACCTTGGAATTTGACTGATAACTTTCATCAGTAAACTCATATTTATCTGCAGCTTGGTCATTGCTGTTTTCCAGATCATTTTCACTTAAATTTTCCATGATAGTATTTGAGGTGACTGTTATAATTTCTAAACACACAATCAAAATATTTATAGTAAATATACAACATTTCAAATATAATTGTACCTATATTTTTTTCACAAAACTGTTTGTTTACGAAATGTAAAAGGCTCTGAAAATTCAGATACTCTGCCAAGTAGTAAGTGGGGTCTTTTAGATTATGCACCAGATCAAAATAGTAATTTATGTTTTAAATGTCTGGTATAACATGATTAAAAATTCTTCCATCTTACTTCAAATTCTGATATTAAAAAAATAAGTACAATATGAATTACGCACTTAAATTAACCGTTTATTTAATAAAATTGTCATAACTTTTATTCAGTCAATTTATAATTTAGAACCATAGTTGATATATCGAAATTAACCAAGGACTTAAATAGTTAGGCTTATCCGAGTATGGTGTTCAAAATGGATACAATGCAGTATATATTTTCATTATTCATATTGTTTACAGTTGTAATGAATTAAGTATACATTAAAGATAATTTTGCAAAAATATAGCTATTGATGTATAACATTTTACCACGGCGCAAGTAACATGTGTGATTTTGGGTTTATCTATATTTTGGGTATAGTTTACAATCGCCGAACACTATTGTAGGCCCTAGATCAGAGGTTTCCAAATTATAGGTCGCGGGTCGTGTAATATTATAGTTGAAAAAGCAAAAAAAAGGGAGGATTTTAACTTCTATTCTCTACCCCTCCCCCCAAATGAGCACACTACTTAGTGATAACGCTACACTGAAAACATACCTTAAATATGTATTTATATATACCATTAACTTGTAAAAAAGAATGCTATTAATTCCAGCATAATCCGGACGAGAAATTTATTGTTTAAGTCTGCACAATAATAATATAAGTTTGAAATTTTGCCTATACTGATCGACAACACTGTTGATGGATGACGTGTCCCGCCATAAAACCGCGTTACTTCGCACTGACCACTACATCGGTGTATGAGCTGTACAATTTTAACGGACGAACTTCAACCTAACTAACCACTTCGGCGTTCAAAACAAGCAGAAAACATCGGCGTGCCGTTTACATCCTCTTTTGTGTTCGATTTCAGTCTTTGTCCTATTCCTGCGTGTGTCTTACTGGTTGACTTGCATCACGTTATTTTATGCGTAAGTATGCTGTATTGTCATCTGTTATTGTAATAGAAAACGTATCAGATCATAAATTTTAAAGGTACCTATATAATATTTTATTACTTTTATAAGTGTAATACATATTATTCTACGAATCCGTGTTAGATCACATTTTACTCATAGTCCATCATATACTAATCACCGTTATTGGCAGAAAATGTAGTAGTAGATGTTGAATTGTGGTTATATGGACATATAATAATATAATATTCGACTATTATTGCAAATGAAAATATAAATTCTTAAATAACTTAAAAATAATTGAAAAACGTACAAATGTATAGCTTTAGTTTCTCAAAAATATCTTGGGTGCCACTGGACTGTTGAAATCATAGAAAATTTATACATTTCTATTTTCAAGACATTAATTAAGATATTTTACTTGTAAAAAATTTTCATTTTGAAACTATAATCATATTTATTATTATTATTATGTATTTAAATAAATATATTTTAAAACTGATCTATAAAATTTAACACTATAAACCATATCAATCAAAACATTTGAGCTAAGTTGCAATTATGTCCTACTTTTGTCCATAATATTTAAATTTTGACTGGTAAATTAAACATAATTCTTAAATAGTTTTTATACATAATACAATACAGCAATTAGATAAAATAGTAATTCAGTAAAGTATCAATATCTTTATCAATGAACACTAACATAACAGTACCTATACCACCAATTTAATGAAATTTGGCATTGTGTTTATTTTATACATTTTTTAAACGAACTATTAACTATTTTTTTTTTATTGTATATGAATCAAAAAACAGTTACCACCGTCCTTCAATTAGTTTTGATGACAAAATATTAAATATTAATTGTAATAATTTGTGTAATATAATATTAGATTGATGAATTATATAAAAAAAAAAAAATTATATTTTTTAATAGTAGTAGCATTGTGCAATTTTTATATAATTTAAAAAGTACTATTAGATATTTTAAAATGCTTAAAATTCTTTGTCTTAAGATAATTTTTTAATTTATAAAAAATAATTGACATTAAAAATATTTTTAAATATTGCTAACACATAATTGATATTATATTTATTATTTAATGTATTATTACTCAATAGGTTGATATTGGAAATACTTAGAAAACAACTTGGATTATCATAATGGCACAAGTATTACCTGAAAATAGTAAAGATGTAGAAAGTTTCAAAGGTAAGTAAAATATGAAATACTTGTTTTTCAAGTTTCTTTTAAAGACAATGTTATTTTACGCTCATATGCAATGTATAGGTAGATTTGGTTGGTATGCTTTCACAAGATATCCAATTCTATACATCACACGTACAGTTAACGGTGAACATTTTAAGTTTGTATCAATGCGGATTGCTGAAACTCACTTGCTGGATTCCTATCTACACTATTTTCATCCAGAAGTTTATACATGCACATCAGTGAAAAGTTATTATATGACTAATTCCGAAGCAAAATTATTGAACAACATCAACACAAAATATTGTAAAAATGTGTATGGGCACTATGACTTCACTGCAAACAAAGATTGCATTGTCCATTTAGAGGATGTCCTGGAACTTTATAAATTTTTAAAAGCATGTTATAATAAAATAAGTCCAACTATTGATAATAACGAAATAGAATTTGGTTATATTCGTATAAATTCATTTTTTGTTCCATACTTCACTAAAGATAACAAAAAATATCTTCCGCTTTTCTACTTTGAAGGGCAAACACAACATCTATTAACACGAACTGTGGAACTTAAAAATTGGGACCTGGTTTATTTGAAGTTTTGTTTTAAAGTTATGGGCATTTATGAAGAATTATATGATGGCGAATCCTGTTCTGTGGTGAGCCTCAATGATATAAAGACCCATTATCCACCAGAAACAAGTTTTGAGGATTTTTGGCCATCAAACCTACAGAAAAAATGTCATCTAATCAATCAGCGTAAAAGTCGAAATCAACCAGGTGTCTGGGCTACTCTCCACTATGAAGCTGTTTTGCCTCCTGAAAATACTCAGAAAAATAAAATATAAAAGTGTATAAAATACAGAATGTGACAATGACAATGAGCGCCCATCACAATGATTTGGCAAACCATCGGTATGTATAATATACTTTGACTTAGATTATTAAATTTATTTTTTATTTTTAGTTCTCTCAAAAAGCTATGATAATTATGTTATAGATGTAGAAAAAATAGTTGTGGTTTTTATAAATTAAATTTTGCTTATATCGATTTCTTTTAATTATATTTGGTGCATAAGGAATGTCAATTGGAATTGTTTATTTTCATGTTTTCATTTTGTTAGCATTGTTAAAATGAAAATTAACATAATAAATCATATTCTAATATACTAATTAAGAACTAAAACATGAAATAAAAATAAAAAATTTGCAAAAGAAAATGTTTGTTTACTTCTAGCTATTAAAATTTTCAATTTATTTAATTAATTTAGTTTTTTATGCTAAATGAGTCGACTCTTTCTCGTCATATTTCTATAATTTCTTCAACAGATACTTTTATGCCACGGTGAATGTTCAGTAATGTTAATCCGTTAAGTCAATTTTCATTTATTGTATCCTCATATGTTTTCAGCGACCAGTGTCGAAAATGATCTTTCGCTAGTTGCAGTAGTAACTGGCAAAGAAGTAAAATAATTAAAATTCTGTAGAAGTACATATGTTTTCATTACATTCAGTTAGAGCAGTTTTTTGAAATTTGTGTATATTTTGTATCATAAAGCACACATGAAGCTAATTTAGTTAAACAACCAGAAAAATAAACAAATGCATACAAATTTGGGGTCTGCTTAAAAACATTCAATTAAATTATTACATCATTTAGAAACAAAGTCTTAACCAGGACAATTAAACTGAAATATAAATATTTAATTACCTTATTGTTTTCTGTTATAAGTTCAGACGTATTTTTTTTCTGTAAATAGGATAAAATTGTAATTTTTTTTTTTTCGAAGAATCCGTAATAATTATAAATAATTTATAATTTGTAAATAGTTAAAGAAATTAAGAACATTTGTAATAAAATTTTAAATAATAAAATAAATAATATTTTCATATATTTTTAAATTATAATGATAATATTCATATTGATAACAACTAGCCTGTAGGACTAGTATAAAATAATAAAATTATTGGATTATCATTGATGCGGTACAGCAGTAGATAACACAAATTTATTCATTATTATGATGGTGTAGTATAAATATTACCTGCACGAGTGAAATATACGACACCGTTTGAACTTTTAAACGTTAACCGTGTTGATGTATGAAGTCTATGAATATCGCATGACAGAATACTTAAATTGAGCTAGGATTTTGATTTTTGCATTTTTTTTAAATGCTATACAGTTTTAAAAAAAAACTAAATTCGTTTCGTGTTTCAACTATTTAGAACGTGTGATTTTTATTTTGCATTTTATTTATAAAATAATATGACCCTTCTGACCGAACTATAAAAATTTATAATAATAAAAAAATACAATACGAATTACCAATTCTCTTAACATCAAATCAACAATAATATATATTCTTTTTTTATTATTAATTTATATTCATACATATTATTACATTTTAATATATTAAATTATTTTTAAACAAATTATATTATTTACAATCAATTTTGTAATACTAAAAAATAAAAACTTATGATAATAAAAAATAGAAAATTTAAATAATTTTAAAAATATTTTTCTCATTTTTTTTTTTAGCAACAAAGTGATTGATTCAATTTGAGACAATTCGCCCCAACAGTTTCGATATCAGACTATATCGCCGTTATACCGTTTTACCATTGACTTTATGCCGCCAGAATTTTCGCTGCAACCATTTCATCACCATGATAACGTTTACAAAAAAGTGATGTTACTTGGGCATATTTAACAATCAGGAGCTGATTGTGAAGATGTTTCAGACAGGGAAAATAGTTAAGTACCGGTCCACTTATTGAGTTAGCCAAGCATCTATTATTATTAGGGCTCAGATTTTGTAGCAAAATAAATCCTTAAAAAAGCAAAAAAAAAATGCATTTATTAAATTTAATTCTAATAAAATAAATTTTAATTACACATAAAATTAAATATTAAAAATGGAATTTACGACAATAAATTTAGTCAAGTTACTTAATAATCCGAGCCTTAATTATTACTAATTTTGTTTAAACATAATTACACATTTTTTTTTCTTATAATTCTGGAAGATATTGTATATTATTAAGTTCTATCAATAGATTTGTATATAATATTTTATATTAAATAAATAAATATTTTCTTCTTGTATTATTAAATTTGCACGTTATAACATCTTGTATAACACCTTATCCCATTACAAACTCAGGCATAAAGGAGTAGATATATTCTATATGTATTTTAGTTAATTGCATAAATAAAAAGAAAAATGAAAACTACTAATACGCTTCAAAATCAACATTTTTTTAAACTGTCTGTTTTTTTTTTTTTTTTTGAACAGCTGATATAAACACAAGCAATACCTATTACCTAGTCTGGGTTAATTTGCTTTGTTTGTTAATTATCAAAATAACATAATAAAAGTAAATATTTTTAATTTTATTAATATTACAATCTATATATTTAGTAAGACAATTTGTTCATTAGCAATGTGATTTTAGATTTCAGTAATTTGATGATTTTTCATTGTCTATTTTATATAGAACTTTTTTTTCTGTTGCCATGAGCATAAAAGCTTATAATTTATTTTTGGTACAAAGTGTACTTTATTTACATTTTAGTAAAGAAAAAGATCTTTCACGAGCTATCTACAAAAAAAAATATAAACTTAATAGTATAAGTAGTATCCAATGTTATAGTGAAATGCTAAGTCACAAATTATTATCTACTTGTGATCACAGAAAGGTAAGCAGATATTTCTAAACTAATGCTAAGTTACTGAAAGCATTAAAATCTAAATTGTATTTATGTAGAACATAGTAACAACAGATAGCACAATTCACTCAAGTATTACAGTGACCTTTCTGTACTTAATTATTAAATAAATCACCGTCATCTGATTCAACATGCAAAATCAATATAATATTTATTATTTCATGAAAACTTGTTCAATGCTTGTAATAGTATTGTCCATTGTTACATATTATACTTCATTTAATATAAATAATATCTATAAATTTTTTTACTCCTTTGAAGTCTCTGAATTTTTTTTTAAATTTGTATTTGCTCCTCTAACCATTATTTGACACTTCAACAAATCCATGCACTTTGTTTAAAGATACTTGGAAAGTGTATTAATTATATTAAAAATCCGTACATAAGTACAGTTAAGATTGTTGAATAAGGTAAAAATGAATGTTTTAAATCATTAGCTTTTAATTTTGTTTCAGGTATAAATTTATTTAAGTTTTCTATTGAATTTAATGCTAAACTAACCTCTTAATATAAACCTTCATCATCAAAAATACATGTAAGAGATTTTTCCTTGGCCCACTATCTATATAAAACCCATTTGGCCGAATTTATTTACGGTCCGTAAATATTCAGCCGGTCAACCACTAGTAGAAAAAATATGTGATTCAGCATAATTTTTTGACTAAAAATACTTTAAAAAAAAAACTTATTTGAAAACTCTCGATTCCCGGTGGCCCAATCACCCATGGTTTAAACACAAAACGTTTTGTAAGAATGTTTTCTGTTTTAAGTTAATTAGTCATTTTATATTTTTATCAATAATAACATATAATTATTTTACATAAAATTTATTCCCACCAACTCTATTGATTGTTTAATTTTTTCATCAAAGTATAATTTTTTTTTTGGAGTTATAACATAAAGCTCTAGCATTTTGCATTTTTCTTGAGTTTAATTTTCATGATGTCTAAGCTCTTGTCTTAAATTTTTTATGGTTTTTCAACAACGCTGTCTATTGTTTTTCTTTCACGAGAATTTTTTTTTATTGCCGATTACTTTGAGACAGACTACACAAACTATTTTGAGTTCTTCTGTATTATTGTGTAAAAAACAAATTTCAATGTCCAATAAATATTTCGTTATTGGTGTAACATTTAGCACAGCACTTATTATATACGCACATCAAAGTAAATATACTTGATATAGAGGTGTGTTTTAATAAAGTTTATAATTATTTTGAACTATAAAAATTGTTACCTTTTCACTGTACATGTAATTATTACAATACAAGAAATTACGTTCATTTTTTATAGCTCGATAGTGTTACCTCTGTTAATAGTCAACAAGTACTGAATTCAACCAGTGGATTATTGTTTATCGAATTTTAGGTATAATAAAAATGATAACCTTTCTACTTGATAATAGAACAGATTACTTTATTACTGTAGTTAAACATTTGAGTATATACATCTCTAGTCTATAAATACAAATACATTTTTGTAAACAAGTACTGAACAATAAACATAAAGCTAACATGCTAGAAACAAAATATTGATTAAATATTAGTAACTTTTTGTATAAAATAAGATGTAATTTTAATACATACATTTTATAAATTTATTATAAATAATATTTTTATAGAACCTTTAAGAAATGTCCTAAAACTTATCTAAAAATAATTATAAATGACCTAAAAAATACATTTTCTAATGCCCTTAATTTATAATGACATTTTTTTTATAGACACACAACTATATTGTAAAAGATAAGAAAACGATAGTTAATTTTTTACATTTTATCGTGATTAAATAAATAAAAGTACAACATATCAAACTTATTGAAACGTCTGAATAAATAATCAATATACTAGAAATAAATTTGACCGCAATGTATCTTTTACAAACTAATTGATATTTGTTATTACTTCGAATCTGCAAGAGATCACATCCGATAATTGCTCAATTTAGATAAAAACGTAATCGCATTCATACATAGAATGTATGATAAGTATCTAAAAACTATTAAAGCAAATATTTTGAATTTTCTTACTACTTAAATGTAGCATAAGAATAGTATAATAATTACTGTACTTAAACTGATTAAACTCGAATAAATTAGATTACATTTCGGATT